CAGGTGGGTGCAGCCGATCATTAATGTGGAGAGCAGGTGTGAGGTTGGATGTTTCTGGGACAACAGGACATACTGAGGTGTCTTCTGGGAGCTTTGTGGTCCACATTCAACCAGACAGCAGAAAGCGTTCTCTCTCTAGTACACACGGTTTTCCTCTCAAAACCTGTGTTGTGTTGATAACTGCACACTGACAAAGATTCTGCAAATTAAACTCAACATCACAAGGAAGTGTCAGCATCTACCAAAATAAGAGCGAATATGAATTAAAATTAAAAAAAAGATGTGACACAACAACATTTCTGTAGCTTAGCACGGAGACAGCTACCCTGCCTATCAAAGTCTGCCGTTCAGCATGTTTAAGTCTCACTAATTAACAGGTCAGGTGCTGACTTCTTACTGCACACCTCTTGCTTAAGCGCTCTGTATGTTAATCCATCACAATTTAAGGCGTTTTAAGTAGCACATCTAGGTTCATACCTTTGGGGATGTTACAGTCATACATGTGAACACATCATCGTGCATACAAAAAGGAAACATTTGAAGGCGGAGGAAGCATGCGATTAGTTCAAATCCCTCTATTTTACATGAATGCGCCATGTTTTCAGAATGATAAATAAGTAGAACGTTATCATTGAGTATAGATTTTGAAACCCTGTCTTTGTTTGCCTGCACACAATTATAAGATGTCTTCGGGAAATCGTAGTTCTCTATTCTTCTGAACAACTTTTACCTACATCTCCTAATCCAACGGCACGTTTTTATTAACAGAGCACACTTTAGCTTAACCAGCAACTATCACCCGTCATGAAGCCAGAAGACTGCACAGTAATCCCTGACGTAACAAACACATCATTCTAAATACATCCACATCCACACCACCCACATGCTGTGCAGCATTCAGCTGCCTATAATTGGGATGGTGTGTGATGGGGAGACTGCTGCTTGTCAACAGAGATTAGCTGCAGAAGTGGCTGTGTGTGTGTGTGTGTGTGTGTGTGTGTGTGTGTGAGAGAGGGCTTGTAACCATTGTTTGCAGCTGAGCACATCGAGTGACAAACGCCTGGATTATGTGTGATACTGTGAGGACACACCACGTGCGAGCAACGACACCAATCTGAATGTGCGTAAAGAAGTCACACAAAACACCGACGGCAGTTTGTTCTTCCTCCAAACTCCTCCAAATAATGCCTGAAAATGTACCTGGATATATAGATATATATAGAGATATATATCCCTATCCATCATGTACATCCAAAGTTGAAGGATGGATGTTACTTTAGTGAATATTTCCAGTCCAGCTGTAGTCAGCTTTTAGGAGGACAATGCCCTTCAGAAGCTAAACGCACAGCGTTATTTCTGTCACAAAAACCTTTGCGTGCGTTCTGCACACGAACAGCAACTCGCAATTCATCATCAGCAGCTATGACAGCAGCCGCTATCGGTCATGCTCTCCGCCACCCATTGGAGAAGCCGCAGTGAGGAAAATGATCATTTGCTGAGAATAAATATTTGTTTTTCGGGCCAGGAAGCTGAAAATAAGTGCTGGTCTGTCAAAGCAAAGGAGCGGAGCTGAGGAGACCACCTGGCCCATGTCGTCATTTGCTGTTGTCAGAGTGGATCAGGAAAAGGCCACCCGCTCTTTTAAAGAGACAGGACCGCGAGGGTTGAGTCGGAGCGTCCTGATTGGCTGAGCACATTCACCTTTGCAATGAAACTATCAAGGTATTTTTGTGATACATTGTGATTCCGTTTAGTGCCGATATCTGCGTCTGTGACTTCTTCTTCTGTGATGTCGTCTCGTGAAAGGATTGTCTATCTCTGAGTGCCAACCTCCAACTTCTGTTCCTCGTTGCAAACATCTTTTGGCGCGCTGTCAAGTCTGGGCCCCGTGCCTCGCTGAAATAGTTTTGGAGTTGTTTAATGGTTGAAGAGGTTTATGCATTTTAATTAATTTGGACAAAACAAACTCTGAGAGAGCTTGTTTTTTTTTTCCATTCAGAACAACAACTTGCCAGTTAAATCCATGTGACTCACCTGCATTTGTGAATTAGTAAAAAGAAAGCAGACCAACAAAGTCCGTATTTGTTTATACTGTTTTGTCGTCTCCTGTAGATCTGTACTGTTCTTTGCATGCAATTTGTCGTACACACACACACACCTATGGCTACAATCTTGTTCGGCATGAAGCAAGTGCAGACCTGTGGGTGAGTGTACATGAGTCAACAGCCCTTCCTGCCGGTGGCTTTCACAGTGACTGACATTTCAAGGAAGAGAGAAGCACACGCGTGGAGGAAGAAAAGGGGGTACGTCTGAGGTCCAGACCGCCCAGATCGAAGATAATCCTCCAGCAGGCCAGTGAGAAGCCTCAGAGTAATGTTTCAAACTCTCTTTGGGCTTAACTCAGACACATTCTCATATTATAGATGAGAAAACACTCATCATCGTTGTCAGACATAAGAGTCAGATCAGATTTTGCTTTGCTCTCTCTCTCTCTCTCGTCCTCCATGGTTCTCTTTTTACATCGTGTGTGTGTGTGTGTGTGTCTCACTGTACTCTCTCTGCTGGTGTTTGTCCCTCCACTCATCACATTTCCTCTGCCTTTGTTCACCATCACAGAATATCGACAGTCACAGTTACCAAAGCTCTTCCCTCCTCTCGCTCCCTGCCTCTGTCTGTCTCTCTCTTTTCCACCGGCCTTCACGGGAGGCTCTCAGGGCGCAGTATGTGGCTGCCCTCAGCAGACAGTTGTCAGGCATAAACCGATCGTTTCACCTTACTGAATAATACCGGCATTCACTGCAGACCGTCTCTCTCTCTGTGCTCCCCACGGCTCTTTGTCACTTTACATCTTCCCTCTCTTCCTCTCCGTTTGCCATAAAGTCTCCCTAGATGTTCACACCTTTCACTTCTCTTTTGCTCCCTGCTTGTCCTCCTTTTTTCTTTCATTTCCAGTTTTCCCTGTTATTTTTAATCCCCACGATGATCCTCTCCAGTCTTCCCACCTCTGACTCGTTCTCTCTTCGGCTTTTCACTCCATCTCATTTTTTACACACACGCTCGCCCTTTCTCTCTGTTTGCATACCACCTCCTGTTACTTTCAGGTCATTGTGAGCCGCTGCTACAAAAGAACCGTAAATGCCCCTCTCTCTGCCCCCCTGTGGTGATCCACAATGCCGGATCCCACACGGGCCAGACCTGACGTCTGATTGCAAGTGCGCTTGTGAGCGCAGTTGTCGGGGAAAGCAGTAAATAAGGTATGCATGTATAAGAGTGTGTTAGGAATTCTTAAACGACCAGAGCCACTTGACCACGGTCTATAAAGGCCATGTCAAGGTGCTGCGCTTCATTTTTATTCAGAGGATCTTCGCATTTCACCTTGCAGCGTTTGCTCTTTTACCAACAGCAGATCATTTTTTCACTTCCTTCGCGGTTGCCAAAGATTGTGACCCTTTAATAGTTGGAAAGACGGACTGAAGGACGCGAGCTACTGAACACCGTGTCCTGGGGAATCTAGTGTGCAGCGGCACCTCCAGAGTAGGACATTTGATCATCACTGGGGTCAACAATAATAATGGTCCTTACATACAATATAGTGTCATACTGAATATTGTAGGGAGTCATTTTCAGAGTTGATAGCCACCCAAATGATTGGATTCTGGAGAGAAATGCTCTATGTATCACTTAGCATAAGACCTGCTAGAGCCTGAGGTTAAATGCCCATGTCAAAGATGAATAGAAGACCATGCAGGGGGGTTGGATACGACTGATCAGGCTCATTGATGATCACAGTTCACCTAAACTCAATATGCAGCCACAGGCCATTTCCTTATCGTAAAGCCTTAAAAGTGACCTCAGCATTAGGAGGAATATAACCATTTCCTGCATGGATACCAAGTTTCATTTTGGGACCGTACACTGCAGGTTTATTTCTCTTAAGCTGGGAGTAATAAAGAGGCACTGTGGGTGTCTGTGAATGCGATCTAATTATCGCGTGTTGTCGACTGATGGCAGTTTTATGCGAAGTCACAGTGGGTGCAGCAGAAAAGTGATCTTAAATGTATAGAAAGGTTGTAAGCATCCACTGTTAAGAAGTCAGTCGCCCAGACAGATAAAAACACATTTACAGAGGACAATCGACCATCGATTGTTGTGCTTGGATGTAAAAAATAATTTCATAAACCATCATCCAGCATTTGGATCTACGACCATTGTCTTTTTTTCTCCTTCAATTCAAATCAATATGCCGTATTGACTTAAAAGTAACAAGGGAAATTTTGTCAAAGGATCAAATGAAAATGTCGTTCTAGCAGCAAGGAGAGGAAAGGAAAAGGGGGGCTGAGATGCAGTGAGATCAGGCTCTGTCTGATCCGATGTTTGCACCACTGTAGGCAGATTATTGTTGAAAGTTTCATGTCGCAAACATTACGTTTTGTTAGTGGTGATTCTTGGCTGCATCAGGTTTTGCAATGAATGTAGTCTGGAGACGTGACATAGAAGGCCTTCCACGTTCAGCCCATGTCACGGAATACTGCTCAGCACCATGGACAGCGCCAAGGATTTGCGAGTAGAACGTATTTAACCTTATTTAAGAGTTAAGATAATTCAGTGAATCATTATGTTAAATACAGCACATAGAGCCCATTTCATAATGAACATGTCCAAGACTGTTCCCGAAATAAACGCTGTGGTCTGACTGTTGTCATGCTGTGAAACTGTTTAGAATTAAATCATTAATTTGAGCAAACAAACATTGTCGCAAATCCTATGATCATTTTCATCTGCTCATTCCCAATTAATATTTCTAGTCCAAGTCCAGTGCCCTGCAAGCTGCAATTATTCATAATGCTGATTTCACGCGAAATCTGATGAGGAAAACACAAAAAATAAGATCACTCTTTGGGGATTAGTTCGGCTACAGGTCTAATAAACAAGCAACACCTCCGCGCGCTCTGCGCCTGCTTTCCTTTAAGAGACGTGAAGTGAAAATAGGCCAAACTTACCTTGACTGACATTAAAAAAGGTGTGTCCAGGATTTACTGAACCAAACTGTCGAGGTCTCGCCTTCTCTGAGACACCTGCCCGGTGTGAACCATGGAGAATATGAAGAAGAAAAAAATCACTATCCACTGGCCAGTCGTGGAATCGGTGCAAACGGAGGCATCGCGGAGAGAAAACGCGTGGACGTCGTTGCGATGCTGCGGTGCCAAGCGCGGTTCCCCGACAGAAAATTGGGTTTGTGCGTCGCAGCCTTGGCGACTCTGTGTGGCGGTGCGCACTGGTCTCCCCCGGACTCACATTTCCAGAAAGACAAGCAGAAAATGTGACGCCAATAGAGAACCAGTGGAGATGCGTTGGGTTCCACTCTAGGCTTGTATATGTGGAGGAATTTGGGAACACTTCTTTTTAACCACGGTCACGTTGTCCGACCTAGCATGTTCTAAAAACGTATCTTCTTTTTTTCCATTTCCAAATTGGCACGAAGAACATTTCACTTCTTGTCAGATCATTCCAACACCAATGTCGGGACTCAACTTGTTATTCCCAGACGCTGCATCCCAAAGACGTTTTTCAAAACCAAACTGCAACAGTTAATCACCTGCAGACTGAAACACAACAATGTCCACGAGCGCAGCCTTCACTTCCTCGTGCGTCCAGTCCTCCTCCCGCAGGAATACGCGACGGAGAGGCGCCTATATCGAGCCAACCTCCCTCACGCAGCCAAAATATCCCATGGAGGCTCAGCCAAGGATGGCTTCTGGGAAGAAATAAATGAATAAAAAAAGTCCTGCACTTAAAAAGGATCAGCTGATTAGGGGGGGGGGGTTGATTTTCTCTATTTATTCCCGCGCTCTGTGGGTTTCTTCATTTATCTCCCGCGCGTCCAAAGAAAACTGGGCTTGTGGTTGAATTCTCAGCGAAGAGTTCGGAGTGTGGGAGAAGAGGAGGGGGGAGGGGGGGGGGGGCTTCTCGAAAACGGGCAACAATGAAGAGTAACGCCGCTGATTTTGGGGAAGCCTGATCGATTCGCACTCATGTGGACGGTGTTTGGGCCACAGCGGCAAACCACCCGCTAAACTGAATTTAGTGTTGGACTTTAGAGGGAGAAGCGAGGAAGAGGAGCTGGACTCCGCTTCCTCTCCACGTTGACTGTGCGGAGCGCGTCTGCTGGCACGGGAGGGGCGCGAGGGGGTAAATGGTGTATGGCGGATTTAATATTTGATGATCAATGCTTATTATACCCTCATAATCAGTTCACACCAGCGCTGGGGTGATGGGAGACACGGGGCACAGAACACACGCGCACCACCAGTGGATAATCTGTCCGAACGTGCACGTCTTCATGAGATCAGACAGGCGAACGCGCCATCCCGCAGCGCAACAAAAGCCAAAGACTCACGCATGGACAACTTTGATCCGAACACCACGGCGCGGCGGAGGGGTGCACCGGACGAGGATGGGGGGGGTATATTGGCAATTGGGTGGCTGTGCCATATGATAAGATAACATATTTGTTATGGAAAGTCTTGGTCTGAGAGATGAGGAAAGAGGAGAACTCCACAGCGGGTCCTTTGTAGTGCCGTAGACTTTGGATTCGTTCAGCTAACGAGCGCGCAAGGCCCCGTCGGCGCGGTCCGGCGTGGTGAACACTCGGTTTTCAAGACTCCCATTAAGGGGTAAAGGCTACTACTGGCTCCACCAATCTGCTTAAACCTTCTCCAGAGGGGTCAGAGCACTCAAGTCAACTTGCTAATGAACTTGGGATGTAGGTCCAAGCCATGGTGCCATCTCTGACCAATAGAAATAAAGTGACATTTTCGTCTTTTTCCTCCATAGAATTAGTGATGCTCATTAATCTTCTACCTCAAGGCTTGGACAAATCTTAATTGTTTTTCATGTCCCCCATCAAATCCCATATAAAATGATGTGCCATAATTAAAAAGGGAATGCAGCAGTTAATTTGACGGTTTTGAAGTGTAGTTCATTATGAGACCGATGAAGGATGTTTAATGTTTTGTGTTTCCAGAATGTCTTAAAGAGACATTTAAACGGCAATTCAAAACTGCACATTTCTCCCGTTATCGATATTCATCAATATCGATTCTTTAGGCGCAATTTTGGAGATATCCATAGAGATGTCTGCCTTCCCTTGAATACAGTTGGACTATAGCTTATTTGACAACAAATACATGGAAATGCATTTAAAATAAATACATACATAAGTAGCACTTCAGGTAGAATGAAAGTGGATTTTTTATTTTAAGGTGAACTGTTCTTTAGGTGGTCTAAATCAAACGCAGACCCGTCACTTTCCCAAAACAAAAACACTTTATTTGCTAGAGAGCAAAATACAGAGACACACATGTAACAAGACTCACCAACAATGAACGAAGAACCGGCAGGGAGTCGGTGACACTCGTGCTTTAAATATACTGGGGAGGTGCAGGTGATTAGACACAGCAGGAACCAATAAGACAATCACACTCAGGGAAAATACAACAGGGCAGAAGGGAAGTTAACCCAGGGACATGAGAGGGCAGGAAACTACAAAATAAAACAGGACATGAACCCACACCGTCTATAACAATGTATTACATCGTTTTTCACTCATTAGAAATAACGGTGAACCGCGCCTTAAGATGAGGGAGGCTGCAGAGATTTTAGATTAATTAAACATGACTACATTCCTTCCACACGCCTGGTCAGTCACACTGAAAGCAGTGAGCTTTGAGGCTGGAGCTTACGGCTCTGTTTTATAAACTCCCTACGTGTATTGACAGCCAAATACTCATTACGGCACTTTTATAACCTGCACAAAAAAAAGGCTGGCATGAAAATGGTATGTTTTGCCATTGTGTGGTTATGTCTAATTCAAGAAGCCATGTGCAAAAATACCCCCACTTGCCAGCTTGAGGTAAAGTGCGTTATTCATAAGTTCTGAATAATTGAGGATTAGGGAGCACAGTCGAAAACCGAGGGGGGGATATTTGCTGACGGTGTGCTTTGTCTGGGTTTGTACTTATGAGAAAACACAAATCTTGGGTCAGGCAATTAGCATTCAGAACAGAAAATAACGAAGCTAGAAACCCTTTGTGCTTCAATGACCAAGTCGCTTCCAAAGTAGTCTTTTTTCTATCTGGTTGGGATGTTATTAACAGTGGATGATTCACCGACTCGGATTTACTGGTGCTTCAATGTTTGGCTGGGACACGTTTTGGCATTTCTGCACTGATTAGGTTCTTTTCATCACCCTCAACAGTGTGGGGAGGTCTGAAAACAAAGTGCCAATCAAAATGTCAACATGGCGTTGCATGACGTGACATCATGGCACGGCATGTCACATCATATCGCCTCACATCAAGCGACACAGCAAAGCAATAAGACAGTATCACAGCACAATGTTGGTCTTATTAGTAAAAACTATTACATTTGTACAGGGGTTTTAGCACAACCTGCTAAAGTGAACATTAGATGCTTTTTCTCTTCACAGCAGTAGTGGAAATCATCCTTTTGTCGCAGTCTAAATATTATGTTTAGAAGACCAACATGGCACGCAGTTGTGCAGAGAATTGACGCAAAATAAAAACATGACTCAGCCAGTATGAAATACTCCCACCGCTGACATTTACTGAGAGACGGTGCAGAAGTTCTCGACATCTGAATGTAGCCAAGATCTACCAGCCATCATGTGTGCTTAGCCAAAATGTGAAGGGATTCAGTCTAACCTACACGGCCGAAAGGCGAGCCTTCAGCAGTACCCACACGGGGAAGGTGGTTTGCTCTGAGGTCTAATGCCGAACATCCCAAACTCTGTTTAACCCACAGCATGTCATTTTGAATGACAGCGTTAATAAATGTTGATTTCTGCAGAGATGCCAGTCGTACACAGCCCAAAGGGCTGCTGGGAAGAGACAGGCAGCATCCCGAGGTGTGTTAGTGTGTGTGTGTGTGTGTGTGTGTGTCGGTTAGTAGCTGTGTGAAACCATGTCTTCCCCTTTCCGAGGTAGAGATAAGGGCGAGTCCTGGAGGTATTTGAAGCATGGAGGAAGAGAGCGATTAGTGCCACCAGCTCCAACCACACATTCGCTATCTAAACCACTGAGAGCAGGCAGGTGTTCACCATAGACATAGACCATATATATATATTTATATAAGAGGTGGACGTATAGACACCGTGACGTTAGCCACATGCTTGTGTCCATCTGAAGCCTGTCCTGTTCGTTCTGGCTGCTCTTTTGGTTCTTTTGCAACCTGAAGCCACCCGTCACACACTAGGGAGCCTCGGCCGACACGCGGCTTTAATGTCCGGTTCACTCTGAGGATTTCCGATGTTGACACGTAACCTACATCCATCTCTTGGTAATCTCATGTGACAGGACATGTGTCTCTTAAGTCTCATTTAAAAGCACTCGCCAGATTTTCCCTCTCTGTGCACACACACACACACACACACACACACACACACACAGACGCAAAGAGAGACATCTGAAACCCCCCCCCCGTGTTCTTATGAAACATTCAGAGTCCCAGTTGACCGGACAAGTGTTCACCCCTTGGTGGATAAGCCCTTGAATGTCTGTGCGTTTCCCATCAGTCATGTTACTCTTTTAATGTCACTTTGGAAAGTAGCAGGTAGAGAGAGATGAAGAAAAAAAACTGGGGTGGACGACAGGAAAAGTCAATCGCACAGATGTGCAACATTCACATATTTGTATCTATGTATGACATATTTTCAGGTGACAAAGGTCCTCGCGGAAAAATCCATGTACCCGTCGTTAAGACAGCAGCTGAAGAACTTAAACCAATTTAACTTGATTTCCAGTCTGTTCCCAGTGTCTCACTTCCATGTACACACACAAGCGTACGCAAACGTCTTCAGCTGCAGTCTCGGTTCACAGTCTGCTCTTTGCCTACCCAGACCCCCCCTGCAGGGATTTAGTAAATAGAAAGCTAGTTTGTACTTTCCATTAGGGCCTAATTCTATTTCGCAGTTGGCTCTTATCGATCCGAACATTCAGAGAGGCATGCGAGAAAAGTAGCGAACGGAGCACAGCGGAGGCCGCCGTGGTTCGACGGTGGAGGCGGTAAAAGGTGGGAGTGAGCGGGTGGGTTTGGTTGAGGTTTGAAAATAAATAAAGAAATTGAAGGGAGGAGGATGTGGGGAAACAGTTATGAGAACAGAAGGAACGAGGCTCAAATGGCGGCACCTGAAGCTGCACTGTGTGCGTTTCTCCCCAATATCATGCAGTGTGCGGCGAAACGGAGGTCCGAGACACACTGATCCACATGGACAGCAGGCGTGTCATTTAAACAGCGCAGGGACCTGAACATGCCCAACACACCTGAGCGAGCAGACGCACATGTGACCCCACAGACACACACATAGATAGCACACAGCGCCCGAGCCAGGGAAGATATGAACCCCCTACCAGGGTGACGAGATTGGATTTGTTTGTTTGCGATGTTTGACCCCGAGAAGTTCTTGAACATGTGGTCACGCCTGACTCCCCCTTTCCCTGGCGGGGGGAGGGGAGGGGGATGTGAGAAAAAGGGCAGATGGTACGAGGCGCATCGCTTCAGAGACGCCGGTAGATGCAGGGTTAGAGAGGGAAAGGGGGAGTGAGGGGGGGTGGCAGGTGAGGCGTAGAGGAACCTACACAAATATGTCACCACAAGGTGATTGAAAGAGGAGGAGATTTAGAGAGGATTGAAAAGGGGGATAAAGGATACGCATCAGGATCCACTTTTCTCCAAACCGTTTCTTCCAGGGGACCGGCTTTGAAATAACGGCGAACCACAGTGACCCAATTCACATTAGACCTTATCTATAAATCACGAGTAGAACAAATTTGTGCATACAAGAATGTTCCATTCGGCCATTTTTTAATGCCGTTTGACACTATA